CAAACAAACTCCATACTCTGATTCAACGTTTCTCACCCCACACTCTCGTCACTGCACATCAAGCCCAACGTTTGCTCAGCCTCATTGCCTCCACAATGTCTGTAATCCAACACACCAGATTGAAAATGTGTTCCCTATAGGTGTGGTATCTATCCCTCTTCAATCCCATGATGGACCATCCCTCAAAGCTCCTACATGTTACACCTGAGCTTTCAGCCCAACTACTCTGGTGGGATACATTAGCAGACCTCTTCATAGGCAGACCATTTGCACCTCTTCAATTAACAACTCAGGTTACCACAGACGCCAGCCCTACCTGGGGGGCTCACTGCGATGGTCTTCATATCCACGCACCCTGGTCCCAAACTGAGAAATTCCTACACACCAACAATTTGGAACTACTGGCTATCTTCAAGGCTGTACGCACCTTTGAGCCCGTTGTCGCAGGCATGGCTGTCGAGGGCACCACGGACAATACCACGCCACTCTTTTACCTCAACAAACCTCCGTTCTATCTTGACCAGCTTCCAATGTCTATCTCCCATCCCTCACCTGCTCACATAACACCAGGGAAGAACCTATCACCCAGTCCATAACAATCTCCACCTCACAGCATGGAGGATCCACTCTTAGTATGAGCCATCCTTGCTAATGCCCGGAAGCCTTCTATAACTCGTCTATACCTACAAGTGGACCACTTTCCAGAAGTTTACCACTCAACACGATCTTCCGTCTGTACCAACTACTCTTCAAACCATTCTACGGTTCCTTACTTGTTCCAGCACCACCTTTCCCTCTCCACCCTGAAGTTTATATCTCAGCTATAATTGCACATCAACCACATGATTCGGATGCAGCACACCTTTTCCATCATCCTACATGGAAACAGTTTCTACAGGGTGTCTCCAATATGCAACCCTCGTCTCCTTATCTCCTCCACAGTGGTTGCTCCATACAGTCCTTCAGTGTCTTACTCTTCCTCTGTTTGAATTGATAACTACCACCTCTGAATCCCTCCTGTCCTTTAAGACTCTTTTCCTTGTAGCCATTACCTCCACCCGCAGAGCCTCTGAGCTTGCTGTCCTTCTTTCCTGCAGTTTCACCCAGACAAGGTCACCCTTTACCCAGACGTTTCCTTTCTCCTGAAAGTTGTCTTGGAATTTCACCTTAAACAACCTATTATTTTGCCTACCTTCTTTTCGGCCCCACTTACTGACCTTGAACACTCCTTCCACACACTCGATGTTGGGCGAGCCCTTGCCTTTTATGTATCTCGAACTTCTTCCGTAAGTCCAAGAGACTCTTCGTGACACTTCATCTTCCCCTCAGGGGTGTCCATGTGTCTCCTCAAACCATACCCCAATGGATTACCAAGACTATTACTTTGGCTTACCAACTCGCAAAGAAGCCTCTGCCTGCAGGCATTAAGGCGCACTTCACCAGAGCCATTGCTGCTTCATGGAGTGCCTCTTCCTGACATTTGTAAGGCAGCATCATGGGCAACCCCTTCCACTATCGCCTTGACCTTCGGGCTAAGACTGATGCAGCATTTGGTGGAGCAGTTCTTTCTTCTGTACTTCTGTGATGTCACTCCTCCGGATAGGTAATCTTGTTAATCAGCCTATAGTGTGCATTCAGAGAACATGAAGAAGAGAGATTACTTACCTGTAACTCTGATTCTTTGAGTGGTCATCTGTGAATTCACACTTCCCGCCCGTCCTCCCCTCTGTCTGTCACATTTGTCTCACCTTTGATGCTGTGGCGGGCCGTTCTTCAGAACTGAGGTAATCGGCAGGACGGGTGGACCATGTGTACTAGGGGGTGGTCCTGGCAAGTGCATGCTAAAGCTCTAGAATATTCTGAAACCTCTCACAAGCACAGGTAAAACCCATTAGGGTGAATTCACAGATGACTACTCGAAGAACCAGAGTTACAGCTAAGTAACCTCTCTGTCTGGTGCAATGCTATAAATGGAGAGTGCTTGTTTTCTTACCTGGCTTCTGTCTGTGTAAATGGAGCTGAATCACAAATATGTGATCTGAATAAGAAATCTTTAAAAGGGGTGTGTGAGGTAACAGCTTGTGGCGTGAATGGTGATAATTCCCCTTTCTCTCCTTCTCTGCTTCCATCCTGCAAGGATTTTGTATTAACTGTGCCATTTATTTTGAATCTTGACATACCTGTATTCTGAGGTGTAAGGAGAAGGACGTAGGCTTATTCCTCTTCTCCCTCAGTTTGGAAAACAAAAGCTGAACTGATGGGGATTAATATGTGTTGCGGGGGGTGCCCCAATAAACAGGATAATTTACTCATATCTGTGGTTTCTTCCTATTGATATAAGAGCCGATCCTTTTGTAACTTTCTTTTCAGCTCACCGTGCCTGATCCAATTGCAGCAAATATTGTGTTACATGAACCCCTAACCTTGTCAGAGAGACTTCTATGGGAGAACATTTTTTCTCCTATCTTACGCAACGGGGAATAGTATAATAACTTTGCTTTTGTCTCTCAAAAGCGAAAGTGCAGTTGCTAGAAGCAGGATCACAAACAGGTTTGGAGAACAAAGTGGATGTAAAACAAATAGTGCAATGCTTATACAGAAATTGAGGATGCATCCGTGGCAGTGTAAAATAACTAGATCAGTTGTTATACTGAGCCACTATTGCCCAACAGAAGGACTTATGCGGGGATTCGGGTGGCAAATTGGGGACTTACCTGTGGATGGGCTGCTTCCCTGAGAGTTTAATTACGTACTGGGGAGAAAAGTTCCCTCCTTTTTAACTGAGTAAGGTGTAGGAAGATAGTATATGCCAGGATCACCTGGTTGGGTTTCCCCTGGTTGGGCCCTCAAAAATGTTGCCCTCTGCTCTGATGGCTTGGGTAGTTAGTGTATGATAGAATTCTTCTGTATGGCTGCATTGCCACAGAAATACTATAGAACGTGTCCAAGTCATTTCTGATGGTGCAAACCTATATCCTGTTTATAGTTAGCCACTTTTTAGGATGAAAAGACTTGGCACAAGTTGTAGCATCTCTAGCAGCTAGAACTCGTGGGAGTGTGAACATCTCGAGGGTGCAAATAAATGCAGTCCATCCATCTGGGATAAAATGTGCAGAAGAACGTCATTTTGGAACATTAGGAGGAGAAATATTTCCTTATTTATCTCCCTGTTGATTGTGCATTATTGCTCCTTCTCCTGTATCTTGTTTGGAAATAGTCTGAGGGTAAGATACGCAAAACTATAAAGCTGTCCTTTACTGATGGAAAGTATTGGTCCATCTAAGACCAGATGTGATGATTCTCCATTCCCTCCCCCCGCCCATCCTAGGGTAAATATTTTCTGCCCCAGAACCAAATTGTTGCGAAGTCCCAGGAAGTTTTCCATGTTCTGGTTCACTGCCACCATCTCCGTTTTTATATTACAAGGCAAAACTATGTACAATTCAGCAACGTGACCAAGAGGATAGGACTGGAAAAAGAGCCTCTCCTTCTCTCTGTTCACTTGCATACCAGATATGCAAGTTTTATAAAGTTTATTAAAAGAGCAAATATAAAGGAAACTAAAAGAAAAGAGCAACTTGTTGCAAATGAAGAAGAGTAAGTCCAGGGTTACAAAAATGTGTCTACAGATTCTGAAATAAGAAAGGTAACCCTTAAAAATTAACTTTACCCTATCTTAAAAACTAAGTTTCCAGCCTGCCTAAGTAAGTTGTTGACTTCCCTTTCCAGTTCATCCTCTGAGCTTGGGGGGGGGGGGGCTTGGACAACACAATACCCATCTCTTTGTCCCTAAATAGAATGCCCATTTTGTTAATTGATTGTAATCTTCCTTTGAACCTAGCAGGGTGCAGAGAACTGATGTAGCCAAAAGGTCCGGTCTCTCAGATATGCCCTAAGCTATTGGAACAGGAATCTTAGTGACTTCAATATCTCTTTGAAAATCAAGTATGCAGGGAAACAACACCTCCTGCTGAATTACGTAGCTTTTCCATGGCTCACTTTGACCATTAATTTCAGAGAAAAGACAGTATATTTAATTAATGCAAGTAATGTTTGAAAATACTTCACACCGGGGTCTGTTCTGCCCAGTATGGCTCTTAAGGGCAATAGCCTTCCTAAGCCCAGTTGCCTTGCCTTGTAACTTGAGAAACCAAGAACTGATCCTTGAGGCAAAGCATGAAATATATTGTGTGTATTGCTATGCTGTTGGCTTGCCTATTTCTGCACCTTATTGTAAAACAAATGATGACTGTTTCAGTTTCAGCTTTAACTTGTTCTTCAGTATTCACACATAGTTCAGGCTGTGTCCATTTTGTCCTTTTCCGTTCTCCTAGAAGAGGCTGGATATCAGCATGGCTCTACTGTTGTTAGATGAGGCAATTCTGAATATTGGTGTGCTGAGTCCACATAAGCCTTTTCAACCCATATGCCCTTCTCTTTCTGATGCTTCTTTTTCCATATGTTTTACTTTGACTGCTCAGCTCTGCCAGTGAAAACAGTGGAAAACTCCTGTTTCCTTTGGGTTAAGAGAGGAACATCTTGATGTGTGCTTTGGTGGATTTCTCCCATTATTTGCACTCTTCCCATAGTTCTCCACCAGCACATGTAAGCCTGATTTTTGCAAAACGTATCACATGTTAAGTATTTGAACTCTTTTGGAGGGCTGCAGCTTATAAGCCAAGGTCTGTGCAGTCCAGCGTATGTGGAATTTTTCACTAAATCTTTAAGCTTCCCACATGATTAAATGGGAGAACACCATTTATAAATTCAGTTTGTTTTAGGTATCCTAGAGCCTGAATTTATATTAAGTCTTGGGGAACGGAATACGTCCAGCTGTCATGCTAGACCTTCCACCCTTCCCTATGGTTTTCTGCATGAGGTTATCATATGAACTGTATAAAAAATGCAGAGTAATACTCTGTTTGCAGGTTATTTTAAATCACATTCTGATTGAAGCACGTCTAAAGAAAAGGTTAAAATGGCTGTTTTTCTCTCTTTAGGCTATACCATGGAATCCCTGGATAAAACAATCAATAGCTATCTGGACGTATGGTTTGGACCCAGAGGTATGTAGCCTGTACACTTCTCATGAGTGATGTATCACATAGTATTGATCCTTTAAATAGGAACTGGCATATTTGGATACTTGATTTGCATAAAATCAGGTGGAGGTGACCTTGATTTTTAAAATTATTGTTATTATCAGTGATTTTTATTGGGGGAAAATATTCCAATTTATGTCCTCAGCATCCTTGCCAGGTTTATTGTTTGGAGAGGTGGGATGTATACATATTTAAATAAGAACTCCCTAAAACAGAACGGGAGCAGAACTCCCTGGCATAAGACTAGTAGCATAGTGAATGAGCAGCGTGGCTCAGCAATAAATCTATAATGTACAAAAATGCTTCTCTCAGAGCAGGGCTGGAAAACTTGTGATCATTCAAGCATATCCCTCGCTTGTTGGCTGTTCTGGTGGGGCTCATGTGAGTTCTAGTCAACAACATTTGGAGAAGTACTGATGCTGGCTTAAGAACTTCTGATGCTTTTCTCCACAGAAAGAAAAGTGAGCAGACTGAAACCATGTATGCGGTTTAAGAACTTCTGATGCTTTTCTCCACGGAAAGTAGAAAAGTGAGCAGACTGAAACCATGTATGTGTGTGGCAAGGGAAACAGCTTTTGTTAGATCTTCTGAGGCACTTTTACTGATCTTTTTCTGTGTCTAAGGCCAGCTCATGGCTTATAGCTTACATAAAGTTGGAATTTGTATATTCTGACTATCCTGCCGGACTGAAATTCACAACCAGCATATCTGGTGTAGAGCAACAATGGGAACAGGAAATACTAAAACTGCTCCTTTGTCACTAGCTGTCCAGTAATTATACGTACAGTATTGCCAAATTTGGACACCCTGGTTCAGTTGGGTGGGGGTGAATTAAGCATGTGTACTGAAGCACCATCATTGAATGGTTTGATCTCTGGCGTAGTCTTCCAAGAGGAACTGAAGTAGCCCAATGGGAAAGAATTTTGCCTACAAGCTGAGAAAAATGCTGCCAGTCTGAATTTGTTGGACTCCAGTTCTTGTGGTTTAAGGTGGTGTTGTATGGCTGTGTGCTTAACCCTGCCACCAAATCAGTGAAATTAAAAAAAAATCAACTACCTGTTTAGTCAAGGTTTCTAAAAGCTGGATGTCCAGAAGTTTTAAAGCAGGCTTGTCCAATCTGCGGCCCGAGGGGCGCCTGCGGGCCCGGGCGAATTTT